AACGACGGTCATCCGAAGTGACCTTTCGTGCCTGGACACCAGGCATTCGAGATGCTCGAGCAGGAGCTAAAATAAGGATTGATAAGCAGAAGCACTGGGCGTGTTCCATATTCTAACATCGTACCCTGGTGTTGCTCCGTTCTGCTTTCAACTCGACGATTTCCTCTTCTTTCTCCAGAAGCTGCTCCCGAAGCTTTGCGAATTCCTTTGTCACTGACTGGAGCTCCTAAAATACACAGCCGACTGTTAGAAGGGGAGACTGCGAAAACGGAATAAAACTAAAATTGACAAACTTCTCATCAGTGAGCGATGCAAGAGGAAAATCGATGAAGTGAAAATATGGTAGCAAATAAATCCGAACCAGTAAGATTTTTGAAAACTTGCAAAACCTGTTATGCCTCTGCGAAATGTTGATGCCTACTGCAGAATACATAAGAGACGAACAGTATCACATCCCGCTGTGTTCCACATAGTCCAAAATGCATCTAACTGCATGCAGGGAAACTTAACAATTAGAATGAAGAGAGTTTATAGGCAGCAAAGTCGGGAAAACCAGTATTTACAATTCCCCTATTCTCTAGGCATAGCCGCAGAAGTGCATAAGTGCATAGGGCAGTATATGTAATTACAACAACAGAGAAGTATGTACTATCTTAGATGCTGATTCACCACTATATAAGAATGGTAGTAGAATACCTTATAGCGGGGCAACATCTAATATATGCTGTTTTACTTTCATGCAACATTCGTTCATTTACGAGATACCCTGTTCGCTCTGGGTGGAGGGTGGCAGCAGTTTCAAAAGGGAGTTTTGCCGTCTTCCTCTGCTACTGCTATTTGATTATGCTATACTGTACTGCATTTATCACTGTAGCTAAATTGTAGTAATCTGGATATAAAGGTATTACTGGTACCAAACAATTACACTGGTGTAGTGCTAAGCACTATTTTCCTCCATGTGCACTAATACACATTTTAACAGTAGAACTGAATAAAATGAGTCATAGTGTGCACTGAAGGCTTCGATGAATGATAATAAGGGTTAACTGAAAGGATCGCGTAGGGAATGACTCCGTTCAATTCCAAGCATGGGTGATCTCGACAGATATGAAGATTAAGAAAATGATGCTATCCCTGTTGCTGAGCAGAAATCATTTACTCTAGCACATGAGCTGCTAATGCTGGGCCTGAAATGCGACAGACATCGACCAGGCGGTCAGAATGCAACATGGAGAAATAAGGTAAAGGCAGTGTTGCTTTAAGAAAGTAATACTTCCTCCTACGATGTAGTAACCGATGCCTTTTAGCAAGTTTCAAGACTGTCAAAACAACGGAGATCACAAACTAGAGACGTTTCGCTTACATAAACAGCTCAAGGTGATGAGCACACATTTAGTCTAAACACCGACAGAAATGCATTAACAGATACTTTGCACTATACTAACACAAAAAACGGTATGAAACACCAGCAGACACCTTTCCACAATTGTTAAAACATAACGGTAGTAGAGTAAAACTCAGAAAATACTATTCTAGTTTTTGAGAAGCCTACATCATCGTATGCTGTCCCGTAAATAGCACCTAAATAAGGGCAGATCAACATATGATAGTATGTACTACTATATTACCAGAGAATCATCTTGCGTATCCAGTTCTGGTAGTATACGTCCTCTCTGATACTGCTTGAAAACATTAGTATAAAAGCATACATTACACGTTATTCTGCCAAAATACTGCAAGCAATATCATGATACTTAAGCGATACTATTAAAGAACGCATATCGTACTATATACCATTAATACTGCCACACTAGGAGAGAGCGATGCCTTCGAACCGATTGCACAAAATTTCGGTGGGGTAGAGGAAATGGGCAGACAACG